GAAGAAAATCTGGAATCAGTGAATCTGGTGTGACATCTGCCAGGGAAAGCGCAAGGCCTAAAGGTACTGAGGTCACAATTAGAAGACGCAATCTGTGTGGCTTTGCGAAACGATTCCGAAAGAGTGGCTGGAAATGAAACACCACCTCCCTATTGAGATGATACATTAGTTAAAAGTTCGAGATGAACTCAAGGTCAGCAGTGGCCTGTATCAAAAAATCTTACACAAATCCAGATCGTCCCGATGGGAGACGTTGGAACACGATCATGGGACTCACCTAGGAGTTAAGTACAGCATTACCAGGGCAATAAAATTAACCTTTTGATCTAGGATGATGAAACAATTGAGGAATCATGTGTCAAACTGGATAGCCTTCCCTTCCAACATGCTTGTCAGGCCAAAGTACCAGTGATGCTGCATGATGTGTCAGATCGATCACGACAGAAAGTGCTGGTGCACTCATCATATGAAAACGGAAAACTTACTTAATAACGGTCGATTTCTGCAATGATCATTTCGTAAATTGATCTACTCAACGCTGCCCCATCAACACGTAAGCTGTGGTAAACGTACTAAAGTGTCAGTTTGTCAGGCACGAGATAGTGGAAGAGATGGTCCTTGAAAACGAGCCACAATTTACTGGTGAGGCCCACTACGCTATCGCAGACGCACCGACAAACTGACCCGTATCACAGCCGTTCAGATTGAGAGGTCCAGGCAGCAGTGAAGAAAGCCATGAGCTTTCTATTAAAGGACAGGACCACCGAACAGTATTCATATGTGATACTTTCGGACAGCCACCGAACTGCTTCTTAGGATATTGATCTAAGCCCAGTGCAGCTCATGTATCGTCAAAATAAAAGAACTCAAACGCTCATCGGCTATGTCTTCTAGCCCCGTTTCACCACCACACGAACGACTGCGAAGATGTTTGCTTAAGCGGATGATTAATGAAAACGGTACTACCACCGCGGCAACCGAGTATTAGTGTAACCAACAGTGGGAGAGGAAGTGTGGATGTAACCAATGCATGGTATTCGCGAGCGATGAGAAAAAGGCGTGGTGAACGCGTAGTTCGGGGAAAGACCAAATAAAGTAAATATTTAGGAGATGATTCCAAGAAAAATCCGGGATTATGGTGCAACAATTGTTAAGTTCTGGTGGAATAAAAATAAATAGCAATGGCGAATAAAGGAGATAAATGAGGGCCGGAGATTAGCCGAAAGCAATGTAGCCATTTCGTAGATATTCAAAGTATGCCAAAAGGATCGATTGCTAAAATTTGCAATTTCGTCGAATGCATAGTTTAATGCTAAATTCCTCAGCAACATAGTATTAATAGTATTCTTGCAGTACTTTGTAGCGAAAACACGTCACCAGTAACAGACCTAGCCAAAATGACAGCAACATCGGCCGTTGTCAGCTCGTTCGTATACTAGTTGAATACGTATGGTTAGCACATGAGGTTCACATCTGTGACAGTCAACGGATCTCGACATTACCTACTTTTGCTTGGTCATTCCACCTGGAAGAGGGAGGCATTGTTCCCCAACCATTAAGTACTGTCAACTACGACTATTCCAGTAGCTAACGAGTGCTTTCTAGTTACACAAAACTCACATTAAGGCAGAATCTTGTGGTAATATGTTGAAATTCTACCAGCGCAAACAACTTCACAATAGTGAAAAATCTGCAGAACTCTCCCGCCAAACTGCCGTATACCAAAACCTACACCTACAATTAGGGTTTGCAGGTACAGTAAAAAGCACCAGTCGACATTTTTAGTTCATTTATGAAATAGGTGCACAGTTATGCAAAACTATGTGTGACCATATACGCTTGCCAACGGTCCAGCGTCCGTGATCCAAGGCCATCGGGACATAATAACATCCGTCAGTGACTACAGAGGGCAACATTCAACCACAAAAATTTAAGAAAGCAAGAACTAAAATATTTGATTAACCTGCATTCATATTGTTTCGCCTCTTCTCAGTCAGACGCGTACAAACAGACAGTGGAAGGTGTAAAGGAATGCAAATGAAAAGGGAGCAATAGGAAAACGAGCGATTCAAGGTTATCAACTGTAACAATAACACGCCTTACCAGGGCAAGGCGACGCTGGCCACAAAGTCGAGCTGTTTGCTGAGTTTAGGCTTCAGTCGTCGGACTGCAGAAGCCTCAGCAAATCGAAGCAAGCTCGGAGTAGCCTGGCTTTTGATAACCTTCAATGCGTTATGAGGGATTTCGCACGAGCTGCGATCAAGCAGATGCTGGGCGATGGAGCTGGCAGGAAGCTTGGGACTACTCATTGCTTAGTTCAGTGGGACGTGTTCCATGAGCCTAGTTGATATCTTTCTCTCGGTCCGGCCAATGTACGCGCTTCCGCAATTACAGGTCACTTGGTAAACGCATGGGAAGGTAAGTTTGGTGTTAAGCCTAGGCAAGTTGGATTCATGAACCAGTTTCGTGGTCTTACGTAACAATTCACTTAGAGTTGCAACTTAAATGGAGATCGTCAACCAGACAGCAAGTTTGAAACCTCTTTCTTCTGAGCGCCTAAATGACCAGCTTACATGGGACTCACGCAGACCCCTCCAAGTTGAGCCGCTATCGCTTGGTTTCCAGTTTTCTGGTCACTTGTTAAATGTGACCGTATAGGAATTGAAGCACAGTTAGATCACTTGCAAGTGCAAATTTCTAGCCTGAATCAGCCGACGGAATATACGAGTGGATGGTTTAAGGCCAATACAGTGGACACGGCTAACCAAAGGAGGCTGAAAAATGGGAATTTATCATGAAAGAACACCTAGATTCGTTGAGGCGTTTCAAGATTCCGTCGTTGTCCTAATAATAATAATAAATAAAAGCTGACAGCTGAGGACAGATTAGCTAGACTTAACAGGAGGAGACAGAAGGGAAAAACTAAAATGTTGTTATTTTATGAACTGTGAACGCTACACAAAGAGGGACTAATCGATTCCAAAACGATGGCGGAACTCCGCCTTTGTGGCTCTTGATCTGCTCGAATGTATGGATTACCGAAAGTACACAATTTTTTGAGGATTGCAGCGCTGCACCATAAACTGACACGTTGTTTGGTCAAGCGATGCGTACCTACTCATTTTGAGCTTGTTGTGCATAGTTTAAAAGACACTTTTGAGTTTGTTGACATAGTCCGGAAGTTGAATGTTCAAGGTAAGCACATTGTATATTTCGACGTCTGTTTCCTTTTCACCAACGTCTCTTTGAAGGAGATCTTAAACATCATAGGTGTGAATGCGGAAAAATTTGGTCTGCCGCCACACCGATTAAAGACGTTTTTCCGCATTTGTACGGGAGATGTCTAATTTCTCTTTAATGGAAATGTCTATCGTCAAGCTTGTGGGTGTCGCAATGGGTGGCCCTGTTGGACCGAGTTTAGTCGACATCTTTATGGGTAATCTGGAGAATAGTAACAAACGCAAGACAAACTGACGAACTTTTTGTATTAGTTGATACCGTCCAGCAAGGGAAAACCCTATTGGAAAAGAACTGGCTGCCACCTAGAAATCAAGTTTACCATAAAAAGTAAGTCAGAGGATTCGTCTCCCTTGCTTGAGGTTGTGTTGTAGAGAAAAACTGGCGTTTCGCTCATAAGGTCAGTTTACCGCAAACCGAGCTGGAGTGAACGGTACCTATATTTTAACAACCACTGTATTGTGAACTGCAAACGATCCCTAGTTCGCACTTGTTTCATTCGAACTCGCTGAAAATGCTCGGAAAAGTCAATCAAGACAGAATTACAATATATCTCGTCCACTGTATGTATTACTGGCTATCCCAACAAAGTTACAGCAGGAAATGGGAAGAAATTGTTAAAGTGAAAAACGAATGGATATCCCTAAGAAAAGCTCAAATCACGGTACCATAAAAAAGAAAAGAGAACGACATGATTCTGCAACCGATTACGTCATGCCATAAAGAAGTTCTACTAGCCGGTGAGCTCGTACTGTTACTTAAGACCACGAAACTGGTTCATGAATCCAACTTGCCTAGGCTTAACACCAAACTTACCTTCCCATGCGTTTACCAAGTGACCTGTAATTGCGGAAGCGCGTACATTGGCCGGACCGAGAGAAAGATATCAACTAGGCTCATGGAACACGTCCCACTGAACTAAGCAATGAGTAGTCCCAAGCTTCCTGCCAGCTCCATCGCCCAGCATCTGCTTGATCGCAGCTCGTGCGAAATCCCTCATAACGCATTGAAGGTTATCAAAAGCCAGGCTACTCCGAGCTTGCTTCGATTTGCTGAGGCTTCTGCAGTCCGACGACTGAAGCCTAAACTCAGCAAACAGCTCGACTTTGTGGCCAGCGTCGCCTTGCCCTGGTAAGGCGTGTTATTGTTACAGTTGATAACCTTGAATCGCTCGTTTTCCTATTGCTCCCTTTTCATTTGCATTCCTTTACTCCTTCCACTGTCTGTACGCGTCTGATCGAGAAGGCACAACACTGTACACAAGGGGGACCGTTTACCCAAACTTCGGCGATTCGAGGAAATGTAAAGAAAATCACTGGGAATAGTTCAGAAAAATTACTGACTAATATCATGTAGCCAAAGCGGTTGTAATTACTCTGGTCATTAGACGTAGTGGATGGCGGTTCCTAGGAACACATGAAGCTGCGCCACAAAATCATTAATTCACATGATTGTATGAGAAGCACAAAACCCCGTCACGATATACAGAAGCCAGCGGATTAAGCTTTGGATCAGACTACAACTTATTCCTTCTCCGTAATTACTGAGCTGCAACGCAGACGGTAATTCAGTGTACATAATAATTTTAGCTCAACTTTTTTGTTGCTAGTATTACGTGAGCATCAGAAAACACTGTAACTTGCAGCTTTGGCATACTATTGGATCCAACGCCATTTCAAAGTAAAGACTTATGTGAATAGGTGTTGAGCCAATGCTTAGTGTTTGCAATTCTAACTCTCAGTTGATGGAGTGTAACCGATTACCTGGAGTAATCGCACAAGTGGAGTTCCGTCTTCTGCCTTTTGATACAAGGTCTCGTGGTAAAGGATTACACCTGATATGTTCTTGGCCAAGGAGGGATCAGTTGAGAACAACAGTTGTCTGTAAGCGCGCCGATTCTCTTCGGTGTTTTCCACATTGATAGACTTGAGTCGCTTTCCCATGGTGGCTGAACCCCATATTACTCTGAGAAATTTTCCACTTACGGACGCTTTCGTCTGCAGCTAATAGACCTTTTCCTGGAGCCACTAAAGCATTGGCTATATCCCTTAGTTCCTTCAGTTTTCCTTCCGGTAAATACTCCGTAAACCTGGGTTGAACAGAAGGCATCTTGCCAACTCGCCAGATCGAGCAGTTCCACAGTTGTGTGCGAAGCGTTTGAACAAGCCAGTCGATCGAAGGTGGCAAGAACGTTTGTGATCGATTTAACGCCACAAAGGAGGGTGCAATACTTACTCTAACATCGCAACCAACTGTGGAGTAATGTAAAACATATATTAAAATTAATACCGGTATTATTCGCTACTGTAGTCACAGAACTTTGTTTTCAGTCCATTAGTAGAAAGCATTAGTGTTAAAAGCCCTACTTATTAAAGCAGAATCAACTGGAACGATGTACCACTAGTGCCCTAAAAATGTTAGTTGTAAGAATTCAGCTGTCATTTATTATACACTTCAAATCGAGGTGAGAAACACCTTACCTATTGTGTCTTAACACAACGCAGTACAAGATTCCTATAAGAAGATACGATATAATAAATAGTGCAAAGGACAATTTTAGAGAAGCTGTATTATAAGTTTATTTGTTTGCCTCAAAAATAAAATAGTGGCTGGATTGGGAGGTTAAGCGTGATGAGAAAGGACAAAGGAACTCGAAACACAAACGCCGCTGAGGTCGTTTTTTCAATACGTCAACAACTATGTCCAAACAACTAGGTAACTGGGAAACTCCAGCCGACGCCAGTGTGTTAACTAAACGCTGTCGTCGAGCTAACGCGTAGGAAACCACTTCAAATTAAGCAAAACACAGATTGGATTCATGATCTACGGTGCTTTTTACAATTATATAGACAAGCCTTAATTGTTTACGTTCTTACTTTGACATCAAGTAGTGCTGCTGCAGTGTTCAAGCGGGCAAATTAAGGTGAATCGGCGGACAAGGATGCAAGTGACAGCATGTACAGTAAGGGCTGTGCGCGACTGATCTATCAGTAGATGCACATTTATTCCGGATTGGATATAGCATACAGCAATCGTAGTGCAAGAATTGATCTCTCAGTTGAACAGGGAAGCGCGATACACATGTAGCGACCTGGAGATTTCCCGGTGTGATATGTACTATATTGTCAAATAATAATATTATTTGTGTCAAAGAAAACTAGGCAGTTTGTTGGTCGCCCGTTGAGCACTTTGTTTACATATGCACACACTTCCAGAACGTGTACCGAACGCTGTCCGTTTTGCTCTCGGAACACACTTTCTTTCCCCAGCTGCCTTATCGTTCGTTGTCCATTAGCTTAGCTAACTTATTTAGGGCAATAAACCACTTCTCGCTTATTTTCATTTGTCCACTTATTTTTACATAAGGTTGGTTAGTTGTGCAACTATAGCGCCCACCCATCCATTGCCCTACAATTGGCGACCCCGAATACAAAAGTTTGCATTAAGTCCGTTACTATCCGTGTTTTAGATTTGCACTATATTCTGTCCCTTTTTCTATTTTTACATTTTTCAACTGACGGGTCGATTTTTGATAATTGCAAACTATTTTCTATGGACTTTAAATTTTTGGACGCAGGAGCCGATGTTAATGGTGCTGACGTACCACCTCTGTCTTTTAGCAGGGGTAACAAAGTTGGTTTGCTCAGCTTGAGTCCATGTTTGTTTTTCGTTGTATCAAATCTGAGAATGGCACATTTCGCCGCGTCTTCGCAGCACTTCCTTCATAAGTTGTTGATTATCTCTATGACATTCTAAAGTTTCCCGGGTCACAAACCATGTACGAGGAAATCAAGGCAGCTGTTTTAAAGCATAATGACATTTCACACCGCGCTGGCATTACGAATTCGCTTTGTGAAACGGAGCTAGGTAATTTGAAACTTATAATTGAGGGAACGCCTAATAAGATTGTTACTGTTGCTTTGATCCATCGTGGACGATCTGCTCGGTAATCACGAGTGTAGACCGGCGCTCTAACGACGAATTAGTTGTGCTTGGTGCAGGCAACGGTGCTAACGTAAGTTTTGCTTGTAGGACTACCTTCAACACTCTCGGGCCACTTTCTTTCTAGTTCGGTGTGGTACACAGTCGTGACACCGAGGTCGCTAGCACATCATCCAAACAGAGGGTTTTAGGAAGATAACACATTTGTTTGTTCTCATGGGTCATTAGTTCATGCTTATCACATGCTTCAGTTGCAGAAACCCATGGAGAAGTATGGTTATGGTTGAACTTTCCTTCCGGTAGTCTTCTAAGGTGCAGATAACTTGATAACGCTCGCCCCACTAGATGTCTAGTACGGGAAGGTTGTAGCACTGTATAATTCTGAGGCTACCTGTCGACAGTAGTACTGATTCTATTTCGGTGATTGAGCACAGCAAAATGCGCAGTAGATTTGGCTCTCCGTAAAGCTTACAGTTCAGGTACATATTGCATTTGCCGTGCGGCGGCACTTCAACTCGGCTCTCGCTTTGCCCTCCGTGGCCACTCTAATTCTCCCCAGATATTATTGTGTGTGTACTCGTCGGAACTAGTTCGACGAGCTCTACTCAGTGCTTCCCAACCCTTGGATCTAATCTGAGTGGATTATACTCTTGCTCCAGTTCCCAGTTTTAGGCATATTCTTGGCCGAGTTCTACGGGTGTAACAATATCAGACCGGTTCCTTGAAAAAAGATTTTGGTCTCATTCGGAAGAAGAAACTGAGGGCTCACAAGCTACGCGGCAACCATCCCTGCCAGTTGCAGCATAACAAAGGTACAGTCTTTTTGCTCTGCTCATCAACTGAACAGCTCCAGGGACGCTTAGCAGCACTCTACCTGCATCGTCGCTTGAGGCAGGCCGATTAACACACGCTGCCGCTTTGTGTGGGTGTGTGTGTTCCACTGCGAGTCGATTGATCGCTGAACCCGACAGTGCGCGTTACGACCTCCATCTGCCTCTACCGCCTGACCTTGATGCGGTTGAACAATTCTCAATTCGTGTGCGTGTTCTGACCTATGCGTGCGTCACGCCTGGTGCAATGAACACTCATCAAGGTGAGCGCTTAAATAGGCCTCGATGCAAACCATGAGAGGACGACTAGCATTCCAATTGTTCAACGTCGCCTATGTTGCGCAGACAATTGCAGTAAAGTCATTAAACTCAAAGTAACCTGTTCTAGCTGCATTAGGTCGCACTGTCCGCAGTGTGTAGGCAACTCCGTCCAAGAAGTGAGACAGACAAACAAAGTTACTGACACAATTTGGTTTGCCCAACATGTCAAGTCATTCCAGCGGTCAACTGGTTATCTTTGTTCATGGAAAAGTGCGATAGGATGGCTGAAATAACCGCGCATTTTGTAACTACTAAGACCAATCCCACGGAGGTAATTATGGCCACAATGATTCCTCAAGCAGACAAAGTAAGCTCTGAATCTAAGCCGAGGAAGGGAGCTAGACGCTCCAACCGCACTGCAGTGTCTGTGACTTCAAATCCACTGGGTCACCTCACTCCCATAAGTGGACAAGGCTCAAACATGCCTGCTTCCAATTCTCCAACCATAGACACTTCATTCGGAGATTCAGCCATGACACCGACAGCTCAGAGCCGAAGGCAATCCGGTGCAGATAAGAAGCAAGTAAAGTATGCATCAATTGCCTCAATGAAAAATGAATGAAAAAATGAATTTATACGGCTTAAGAAACGTTGCTTTACAAGTCTCGTCGGATAGTTGCAGGGGATATCAACATAAGAATAATGATGATAAGGACAGTAAAATAGTTAATACTTTAAATATGAAAATAAGGACTTATCGTTTGCTTCGCCGCAGTCCTGCGATCCACTTAGATACACAACAACAAACCATTCCATGGTAAACTCCAGGTGTAGGATGGAGACGTAGTGTTAAATGACAAAGTGTAAATGGATGAGTGCATCGTCCAACCGTCTTTTAAATACTGTTAGTGTCGGTGCAGAGACGACCGATTCGGGAAGAGCATTCCACGGGTGACAGACACGGATGGAAAAGAAATTTCTGCGGCACTCCAGACGACTGTATTGTTCTGCGAGTTTTAATGAGTGGTCCATCAGGTTTGTATTGCTGCTGAGTTGCAGTAAAGGGCGGCACACATGATGCGGGTCTTGCAGAATCAAGTATGTCATAATCAGGTCGCCTCGTAGCCTGCGATAGCTTCCACTGAACAATCCCAGTCGTCGCAGCCTCTCCTGGTAGGAAAGACTGCGCATTCCAATTACGTTCTTAGATGCCCGGCGTTGTGGCTGCGCCAGTGCATTAAGGTCGTGTTTCAGCCATGGATGCCAAGCTTGAATTGCATATTCGACATGGGGGCGAACATACGCACTGAGCATTTGTCGAAATATGGAGCTGTTTATTTGTTCAAACGCCCGCCTCAACAACCCCACGTGTTGGTTCCCGGGAGCGACACATATAGGTCCAGCTTCTGTACCGAGCACGCGTGGCGCCAATCAGCTTTCACTGTCAAGTCCAGTAGTGCCTTCTAAAAAACCCAACTTGTCGGCAAAACTATAAAGCCGAAACTCGCTAGACAAATCATGCTACGTTAACTCTCGTGTGCACCCATGTTCCAAAGTCCATCTCTGGCACAATAAAAGGCAAGTTGCAAGACGATCGCAACCAGTGGAGTTCCATCTGCGATGCGATTGGCATTCGGGTGAGCTTGCAATGCTGCAACCCGTTGAGCACCAGTGCACTCTGGTGAACCCCAAATACTTCGAGTAACACTGCACTCAGCAGATGAGTCAGAGGCTGTCCTGCTCTCAGTAGTACGTCTTCGCAACTCACCGAGCGGAGTGCGCATATTACACGATCAACCTTGGAAAGATCGCCCAAAAGAAGCAGTTGACCAACGCGGCATTCCTAATAGGGATAGCAAGCAAACGATATGTGTTCATCGTGTTCCCGAGCATCTGCATTCTTCTGATCACGATGCGCAAACACACATGACCGAGAAAAGTGGTACTACATCCGCGAAGCATTCTCTGTTGCCAATGTTGTTGCCAAATCCGTGACAAGAGTTCCGTCATCACCTAAATACAAGGGCTGCGGTCCAAGACTAATGAACGTAATATTACACTTCGAGGGAATAAAGCAAGTTCTGCTGGATAGTGGGTTAAATTTTCTAGCTAGGTTGCCAACAGAGAGCGGGCTAACGGCAGCAGGCGATGGGC